AAAGGACTTCAGGATTTTTGTTGAAGAGACATCCTGGTGTGAAGTGTTTATTAAAGCAATTCTCAGGATTCCCATATTTAACGCTTTCTCAATTCAGTGTTATTGATGTAGCTCAGGCTGATGCAGCATATCAGCATCCTCTCGGTGAGTCTCTGTGGCCCAGTTCAGCATCTCTTGCAGTCCAGAAAAGATCCTGGTAAAGGGGAGCAAAGAGGATGGGGACTCTGGTTCCAGAACTGGTAACTGCTCTGTGCCAAAGCATCTTAAAATTAAGCTTATGTTCAACAGAATATATAACTCTGAATTTACCAGGATGAAAATATTTGCTTTGACACTTTGTCCTTCTCCCCATTAAACTCTTTATCTTGTTTAAAATCAAGAACTTGAGATACTTCTAGATTTTTTTCCTAAATAAAAACTCTTGCCAAAGCTCAGCTGCTGACCTCCTCTGCATCTGTCTGCTTTGACTACAAACATGTCACATCCCAAGGGCTTTACAGCCTGAGGAGATGGTTGGTTGTACATTTGGGGTTTTATGTTGCTGTGGCAGAGGTGGCTTGACATGCTTGCAGTTTCTAAATGACTGTGTAGGTTTCTTGGAGTAAAAAAGCATTTCAGTAAAGTCTACAGAAACCTAAAACAAACTTCACTTGAGGGAAGAGGCCACATTGTAAAATAATACATGTCTTTGGAAAGTCTGAATTAATGAAGTGTTCCAACTGCATGAATTTTGCTTTTAACAGACCTAGTACGTTCCTGTAAAACATGTGATGGGCCACAGTCCCCCAAATGCAGTTAAATCTTAAGCTTGGTGCCAGGTCTAGCACACATTTGGGGTCACACTCTCAATTCTGTGGTTTTACAACCACAGTTTCTCTTTCAGAAGCATTTTGGCACTTGTTGAATCCTCACAAAGAGGAAATCAACTGTACCCAACACAACTGGAAAAAGAAACGATTGCATTTTCTCCTTCTGATATTTCACTTAAAATGCACTTGAAATTTTTCGCTTGTTTGAGAAGTTTGTTATTCGTGCATTAAATACTCCGTTGCTACCAGTATGTACAATCACCATGGTAACAAACTTCTCTTGATAGAAGCTTTAGCAATGCAAACATTATATCTAGTGGTTTAGCTTAGAGACAGATGTATGGCCATGTAAACTACTACTGCTGTCATCTTCAATGCTTCTGGATCTGACTCTGGTTTCCCCCGTGACTGACTTTAAATGTCAGTGTAGTGAATTCTGTGGCGTCTGGCTTGGTGGCTGGCTGAGAGCGCAAGGTTCCCAATCATTTCCGCCTTGTTCATGCCAGGTGAGCAGCTTGTATTGAACTCTTCTGGGAGGCTCGAGCATCTGGTCAGAGGAGACCAGTGCAATGGTATCGTGGGGACATTTTGACCTCTCCGGTTATCCCAGAGAAACCCAGGGCCTTACATTCCTGCATCATGGCTCTGCACGTTGTCTTCCTTGCTAGTCCTTTCTGGTAGGATGCCTTCCTCAAACTGTGCAGTCATCTCCAGCTAGGATTCATTTAAGGAGTTTGCTAATTGGCAGTTGCTTATAATTACGGACTGATTGCACTTAAATTCTCTCGGATCCTAGTGTGTCCTCTTTTACTGGGATTCAAAGAAATCTTGTGCTTGTGGAGGTGATGCTATGTTGCATTATGGTCATGCACAGGAACATCAGTTAAGCTGTATTGATCACAACTTCGTTCCCACTCCCTTTCATCAAGTCTAGTCCCCTCCTTTCATGTTTAAAAATCTTGTGTGCCAGCTTCTTCTCATCTTGACTGATGCATCTCTCTGCCTTTCTCAAGCAGCACCTCAGCATCCTTTGTGTAGTTTCAAACCATTTCCTTGCAGTGTGCTGCTCCTGGAACTGACCAGCGCCATGCGTAGCACCAAAACACGGTCATCTCACAAGCAAAGCTCCGCTGCAATGCAAATCAGAAGCTGTCACCCTGGCCCCATACGTGTTCTCCTCCTGAATTGCGTTTGGCTAACAATACCTAGTAAAACGAGGGCCTGATGCTCATACATGTTGTATTCTTCCTTGTCTGTAAATGCAAATGAATTGCTCAGTAATCAGGACCACAAAACCGGAGCTTGGCTATAGTGCTCATTACCTACTGTCAAAATGACACTGATTGTATTCCCGTCTAATCTGGTTGTGAAGGAGCTCTTGGTGCCGCTGCTGCAATTAGATGTTGACCCATCCAGTGGAAGCTTGAGAACACAATTTTAAACAAGTTTATTCCAATTTGTTTTCTCTATGGCAAAAAAAAAAAAGTATCTGTCTGCTATCTCTTTTTCTAAACAAGTTGAAACTTTTCAAGGGAGCAGCACAGTGTTGGGGAGGGCAGTGAATTAATTTGTTTTCTGAAGGAAAAGGGCAGTGTTATTCAATCCAGCATGGTATGAGATGTACCTTGTCTTTTTGTGGTGGTTCCCTTCACTTCTGGTGAGGGAAGACAAGGAAGGATCAGGTTTGAAGCCTGGAGTGTAGGAAAAACACTGACTTAATTTCTAATTGGTTCATAGCAGAGAACTCGTATGCAGTGTCTTCTGGGGAAAGCTGGCTTTTCCTTCTACCTTTTCCTTATTACTCCAGTTTCTTGGCACAAAGTTTAGTGGGGAGTGGCCAGAGGTAAATCCTCAAGAGCTCCAAAGAAAGCAAGCCAGACTGGAGTTCTTGCTGGAGCAGCAGTTCCTTCTCCCCAAACCCCTGATCACACTCGCAAAGGTACCTTTCAGTACATGTGGCTGCACATGGCAAGTGCTTTTTGATGGGGTTGCTGGTGACTAGGGTGTTTATCTTGGGGAAATTTGCCATTCGTGATGTGAAATTTTGAAGGGTGTGTGCAGAGTAACTTAAGAATACTCTTTCTTGTGTGATTTCTGTTCTCAGTTAAAATCTGGTACAGAAGCAGTGAGTAAGGGTTGGTTGGGTTTTTTGTGTTTTTGGTTTTTTTTTTTAAAACAAAACTGCATTTCTAACAAGAAAATGCTTGTGTGCAATAAAATAAGCCAGCAACCAAGCACAGGTTGCTATTCAGTTATTCATTCGCTATTCCCTCGCTTCCAGAGCATTTTCAGCTGCGATCATAACCAGCTGTCATCTTACAACGAGTGAAACCACCTCTGTGTAATGCTGTCCCTGGTTCACTTGTCGCAGCGGTAAGGAGCATGGAGGGCTGGGAGAGCTGGTTGTCTTTAGAGCTTTTCACGACTGCCCACAAGTGGCTTGCTGTCCTCCTTCTTTACGCTGTAGGATTTAAGTGAGTTTTGTGTCTTTCAAAGCTGTGGGATTCTTGGGCAAGCCCAGTTCAGATCAAAGGAAGACTGAGATTTGCCCCAGCTACATGAAGGTAAACTGCAGATTGCCCCAGTGGTGTCTTCCCTTCTTTGGGCTGCTGCAGACCATGGGGCTGTGGATACTGACACCAGAAATTGTGCAACACAATGTGCTTTGCAAATAGCGAACCTATTTCTGGTGCTAGAAAACCCCTTTGCTTGAAGCTGGAAACTGTGAGCAGTGCCCTGTGGCAATGGGAATATCTAGCTTGGGGGAAACCAATGGATTTTAATAATCTGAATGAGTTTAGCCTGGAGTTCTCAAGAACTTTGCAGCAAACAGGTTGACTAAAAAGTGCTGCCTGTTGCTACTTGTAGAAATCACAAGAGCTTGTTTTTCTTTTTAACCTTTTTTTGCTTCTGACTAAGCATCCTTTCTTCTGGCGTGCTCCAGGGATAGACAGAGAAGTGTGAAGAAAGTTAAATGTGAGTAAAGGGCAGGGACTTTTACTTGGGGAAAACAAGAATAAATATTCCTGATGCTTAAAGCATAGAAGTCCTGGTGTTGGCTGTGGTTTCACGTGTGCAGCTGGCACCTCGGGTAGCTTGTATCAGATGAAGGCAGGGAGTTCAGAGGAGGCAAGGCAGCCTGTGAAGGCTTGGAGGCAGGGAGGCGACTGAGCTGAACTTGCCCTTTTGCTGCCCACGCGTCAGCGTAACCGGTAACGCTGCTAAATCATAGGGCTCCTTAGAGATAACTGCAGGTTGTGTAAGTTGTCTAAGTGTGTTGGAGTGGAAGTTGTTCACCTTTGTAAGAAAATAAACATGAATAACCATCAGTCCCAATATTAGAGGCTATTTATGTTGCAAAATTCTGCTTGCAAATACCTCAGAAGAATTCACACCTTTGATGCCTTGAACAAGCAGAGCGGTGCTTTCTGTACCATAAGCAGCTAAAGTGGCTGTATTTCCATTGCATGGGTGGTGTAGCAGCACTCGCTGTCTACAAAGCTCATTGCGAAGGAAAAAAATCAACTGTATTAACCTTATTTTTAAAACACCCTTTGTCACAATATAGTGAGTTATTTTCTCAAAGATGGGTTCTCAACTGCTCAGGTGGCAGAGCTGGATGTTTTTGTTTGGTTTTTGGTTTTTTTTTTAAATATACATAGGTGTAGTCTTACGATTTTCCCTCAAATTCAGAATGTCTTCTTTGATGAGGTTCTTCACCTGGAAGGATAGCTGTAGACAAGTCTCTGTAAGTAAGAGAGGACATGGCAGAGATCCTTAGAAGGCAGGGACTTGTTTTCTGGTAATCACCATTGACCTTGTATTGAGATGCACATAGATGAATGTACAAGTTTATTTTTCCTTGGGGCATTCCAGTTTTCTGCTTTGTCTGCCTCTTTGGGGCAGGCTGCTCATGGCCATTTGTGTTGCTAGGCTTGCAAAAATATTTTCAGTGAAATATTTTTAGCTGGAAAACTGATTTGCCCAAGCTTATAACTTATGTTAATTTTAAAGAAACTTCATGAAGGGATTTTTTTTTTTTTTTCAGGCTAAATGTTTGCCAGGAAAAAGCCACTCAATCCTGTAAACAGACTAGCCATCTGTTGGCCGCGATGTTCATCTGGGATTTTGGGAGATCTGGGTGTGAAGTCAAATCCTAACAACTTTTTTTTTTTTTTTATATTACTGCAGGGGAGATCCAGCCCTACAGTGGTGGGTGGCCCCACACAAGGATGAGGGAATGGGACCTGGACCCTGGAACAGGCAAATCCATAGTGGCCAGTCTATTTCTGACTGATGGTTGGGCAGTCTCTCACTCTCCAGATTTGAAAGGTTTTGTGTGTTTTTTTGTCCCAATGCGGAATGGGCAAAATGCTTTAAATCACTTTTCATTCTGACCGAAGAAACAATTTCCTATGAGCTCAACCCTGAACAATAGAGCCTTGATCTTGATAGGGGGCTGTGGATGTTACTGTAATGCTAATAGGTGGTGCGGTTGGCCTTTGCGCTTCTGGCACATTTCAGGCACTATATAGGGAGTCTGTAATCAGCTGCAGAAAAATTCCCTTCTGTCTCTCTCCTAGCAACCCCTTCTGAACTGATATTTGAAAATAAGCTTGCTTTCCATATCATCATCTAAATATTTTCAACACTTACTGTCATTAAAATTCTCTTAATAGTTTTGGGACTAAGATAATTTATCTTCAGGTCCTCAGGACTCCCTTCTAGTTTCTGTGGTCTTAAGGTAAAGCTTTTGAACTTCTTACCTGTTAGAAACCTGACTTGTATCCAGATTTTGCTCTTTTCTCAACTTTTTCACTGGCTATATTTGACACAAAGTCAAATTAGTATACTGAGATGATAAGGAGATAAAAGCAGCAAGGCCATAAGTCACCTAGAGTAGTAGGAGCAAGCTGAGAGTCTTGAAAGGGATTTGTTTGTATTTTTGTTAAGCATTTTAGTGCATGTGATGTGTTACAGGTTGGTTTTGTACCTCTGTAATCTTGACCCAGTATACAAACAGTGTAGCCATGTGCCCTGCTGTGGAAAGAAGGCAGACTGCTTGTACCAGTATGAACCACTGGATTGTCACTAAAATCGAGAAAATGCATTGAGGTCTTTATCCATTAACTGCTCGTTCTTTTTCTGTAAATCTGAATAATGAAAAGTGAGGTGAGAGAGAGAGTGGGGGCATAGAAGAATTTGTCTGGACAGAGTAGACTAATACAAGGTGAGGGGTTTTGGTCGTCCCCGTGAATGCTGACTGCATGTTTGAAGTCCTGAGCATTCACAGGAGTGCTTTCTGCACAGATTTACTTCAGTAGCCGATGAAAGAGGTGGATGGGAATCCTGGACGCAAACATAGCGAGAACAGTGTGGGGGCTGCTGTGAACAGTCTGGTCACCTTAATTGTGGAAATCTTGCTCCAAATTCTTGATGCTCTTTTCCTGGGGCTTTCTGAAGCTGTACGCAGTTTGCTGAAGACCTGGAGCATTTCTCCTTCCTGGGAGCTACTTGGGCTTGCTGCAGGATCCGGCACCAGGCCTTGTCTAGCTCTGAATGCAGGAGGAGAGGTTTGTTGTGCCCTAGGCACAACTGGGTTCCTTAAGTCTTGTGGGTCTACAAACTGGCAACTCTTTTTTTTGGATCTGAGACGGCTGATTAATTGCTGGCCTGTTTGGAATGGGATTAATTTGGGATTTGGTTGTAAGAATTTTGCCTTATGGAAAAAATCTGTCCGAGCTGAGAAAATAGTTGGGTCAGAGCCTGCGTTCTTTACTCTGAGATACATCACCACGAGCTGTGGTGCAGCTTTGTCTGGCAATGTGGTCCCAATAGTCCTCCAAACGTGTCAAGTCCCTTCTGCTGTTCCCCCATGCTTTTCCCTTGTGCTGCTAGGGGGTTCCCTAGTATGGCTTTGTGGGATGGAGAAGCCTTGAGGTCTGCCCCAGGTTCCCAGTCTTCCTGGAGTCCCAGCTTGTGCAATAAATGTTTCCTTTTCTGAAGACTTGCTGGAGATGAAAAGAACTCATAGGGTGTAAATGTTCTTCTTTCTGTAATTGCTCCATGCACTTCTCCTGTTAATGCTGTTAATCATTTTATCAGTGGGATTTTGATCCTGGGCATCTCTACCTTTAGAGAAAACTTGGTAGAGAGGGGAAGGGGAAGATGACTCACCCTGCTTGTGTTAGAAAGTGGGGGCTCACGTGGAATTTACCTCGTGCCTAGGAAAGAGGGCTTCCCCAGCTTCCTCAGTTCTGCTAATGCATTTCCAGAGATTCCCCCTGTGTTGATACAAGGGCTTTATTGCTGAAATTCACTTTGTTTTTAGTCTGTCCTCAAACTCTTTTATCACGTTAATAAACAATGCAGTTGTTCCCAAACCTAGCATCTGCATCCCAATACGTATCCCTATTGTAAACCAAACTCACTTGCTGGGTTTTTTTTGTAGGAATTTTAGGTCCTTGCCACAACAGGAACAGTAATCAAATATGGCACTGCATTGCTTACTAATAGTGTTTTGAATTTGGGAATGCTAGGGCTGAGTCTGAGTGCAGAAAGCTCTGCTTTAATTTATGGTCAGTATTGACTTGTGGAGCAGAAGAGCATATAAGCTGCAGCTGCTCAGGAGCTCACTCTGAAGATCAGGCTGGGAGAGCTGTTTTTTATTAAGTGGTACTTGATTTAGTCCTAAGTAAAACCATTTGTATTTAACCTGATCCGCGAAGCTGCTGTAAGTGTTAACATACTTCAGTATTAAACGTTTCACTCTTGGGCATCATCATACACGGCAAGTTTGTATAAGAGCCCGTTTCTGACCCTGGAATAGTTATCCATTAAATGAGCATGTACATTTTCAAAGGAACTTAAAGTCAGTTGAGCCTGTATTTAAAACTTACTGTCACGGTACCGGGTGATGTGAAAAGATCTGGTGACAAGTGTCCCTTAACATCAGGACTGAAGCAAGCTGCAGTACTTCAGTGCTAAGCTAGTCTCTGCAAACCTTTAGAGATGTAGCTTTTCCCAGAGATGGCTTTTAGCAGAGAAATCACTGGCACTTGGGGCAGCAAGGCATTGATCTGCCCTTTGTGAGCTGCTCTTGGGTGACTGCCAGGTGCAGCAAGCTACTTGCCATTTAACTGTAGGGCAGAGCAGCTTATGCTGAACCAAGAAAACTCTTGAGCCAAAACAAACCGCTATAAACTTTTCTCCCTCCCCATGAGAATGAGGGGAAGAGGGTTATTGCATCCAAATTCTTTTGGAGCTGGCACTGTGGGAAAACTCTGTCCAATCTGGGAGTCATTGTACTTGAGGAACTGTAATAAATCCTGATGGACCCCGCAGATGGGACTTGGATCTCCTGTGTACGAGTACGCACACAGACTGCCAGGATTGAATTGGCACTTCTGGATACAGGGGCCTCTTAAAGTAGTTTGTGATGCACCTTAAGCAGACTTCACGGATCGTAATGTGAGATCGGGGGTAGGTCTGAGCTGAGAATTACTTGTTCCTGGTGGTAGATCCCAGGTGGGTCAGGAATATTTAAGTGAGCATGTACATGTGTGCCCAGGCGCATGTGTGTGTGTTTGCTTAGCGCCATGAAGGTGCAAGGGTGATCTGCATTATTGCTGCAAAGTGGAGAGCTTCCTGGGCAAATTTTGTGCCTTGAAAGCAGAAAACCTTTTGCATCAGAGTGAGAAATCTTTGTTGTAAAAGGGAAGCTGGCTTCAGTTCCTCTTAGCCTAAGCATTTCTGCGAAGCTCACTGCTGTGATGTTAAGGATCTTTTATGAGATATTCTGTGCTGTTGCCCGCTTCCCTCAAATGAGGGCAGCCTCTGTGGTGCAGAGCTGAAGCAGTCTGAAGTTCAGGTGGGAATAAACCTTTGATTTTTCTCCTGCTCTGTTTTTTTCTGTTGCTTCCCTCATAATTCATATTAAGATTATTGATTAAAGGTAATTGCTATAGGATATTATTCACAATCCATTAACCCTGATTTATAGCAGAATTCTTCAGCAAGCTTGGGTGCTGAAACATCACCGTTAATTCTCTTAACTGAGCCTTACTTGAAATGAAGATTTCTTGCCTTTCCGTTTGTATTCCCTTCTTCGCAAAGCACTGGCGCTTTGATTCTTTCCTTTAAATGTTGAGAAATACAGTTGTTCTTTTTGCACTGTAACAGTGCCTCATAATCTCGCCCTTCTGCCATCCCTCCAAAGATGCAGAGTTTTTTGGTCTTGCAAGTCAAATTAACATGAGATTGCCGTAATTTGCATCGTAGCTGTGGGAGGCCATCTGACAGCGCCGAAGGCAGCCAAGGAGAATTGAATTCATCAGCTCTCGCATTTGTCAGAGCAGGGACTGGGGCGAGTTCTGCTCCTCTAATCTGGGCAGGAGAGTAAACATTTAATGTGAGTGGTTGGCAAGGGTGACTTTCTGCTTCATGGCTCATCTCCTGAGCACAGAAAGGAGAGAGGTCTCTCTGAGTCCTGGCCTCACCTCCGAGCCTTGCCCCTGGGGTTCATGTCTGTATGTGGTGAGGCTTTGGAGCTGTTGCTGTTTCTAGATTTTTAGCTCCCCTCCACAGCCTGAATACGTTTCCAAATACGTTGCTGATAGGGACTTGGCGTTTTCTGAAATTGAAGCTTATGCTCTGCAGAAGTAGATGGAGAACATTAAGCAGCTCTGAGGGGAAGGGAGGCACCATCTTGAGATTGCTCAATGCAGGGGGAGGGATTCTTCAGTGTGTAGAATTGGCTTTTACTAACGTCATTGTGGTGGTGTGGTCACTTAGATGTGTCATGATGCTTGAATTGCATGTTGTAGAATATTTTGAATATTTGGCTTTAAACTATTTGGTTTGACTTCTAGCAAGTTACCTGTACTTGATTAAATGGGTTTTGTTTCCTGGACTGACTCTTTTCCTTTACTTGATGTATCAGTATTGAGAGCAAACACGAAGTCACAATATTAGGAGGACTCAATGAATTTGTTGTGAAGTTTTATGGACCACAAGGAAGTAAGTATATGACCCAGCCCTTCTATAAAAACAAACTAATGGCTCATGGTGGGGAACAGTAAAATGACACACTCTTCTGGAGTGGAAGAAGAGATGAGCAAATCTAAGTGGGGCTGAGAAATCAAAGGGCAGCAGTGTTTGAAGGCTGCTCTCTCAAGGGCGGGGAGAAATACAACTGTGAGCATTAATGCAGATGAACCACCTCCCTTGGAGCTGAGCAGAGCTCGATGCTGCCTTTGGACAACTAAGCCCTCTGCTATGGCCTTCAGCACAGCTTTTGTTGATCCTTAGCTTTTCTAGACCTGGCTCATAAGTTTTGCATCAGTCATCTGAATTTTTGCAGAGTTTATAATTAAGATGGCTTTTCTAGTGACTAGATCACAAGTCAGGTCTCCAGTGTGCCTTAATTTAGTAACACCTCTAAAGGTAAGTAGATTATTCCAAAGTCTCTGTTTCTAATAAGGCTCTTGTGTCTTTGTTCCGAGATCTTCTGCAGTATCAGTTAAAACCATGTATTTCTTGTCAGGCAGCACAGGAAAAAGGCTTTTACCGTAGGAGGTTTGATATGAAATCTTACCCCCTGATGGAGCTAAGTATTCTTGTAAGGATGTGTTTTGCTTAATGCTGTAGTTCTATTTATTCTCTCATGAGTTACGAAGTGTCTAATACCTGCATTTCTTTCATTGCAGCACCATATGAAGGTGGAGTATGGAAAGTTAGAGTCGACCTTCCTGATAAATACCCTTTCAAATCCCCATCTATAGGTAACCAATAATCACTTTCAGTTAAAATCATGTTACTGTTTATGCAGGAGAGATGTTATTGCTTGCAGCATTGTTGCAGGTGAAGTCGCACCAACCCTCAGTGCGGTCATAAGATCTTTACTTCAAGTCTGCAGAATGCTTTTACCACAGACTTCTAGATGTCACATGCCAAGCAGAGAGGAATTTTGGTCTTTTGGCTGAAGGGCTAGGAGCTGGAAACGTGATTTGGTCATATGTTTGTGTGTTGATGAACTAAGTCTCTGATATGTGCTTTTTTAATAATATATCCATTCGTGAGTAAGGTGCAGGATATCACAGTGAGTGCTGGAGCCTGTTTATATAAAAGGACTCATTTAGTATGGAGAGCAAAGACCTCAGTGCATGTTCTTGGACTTGGGGTGAACCTAGCTTTTGGGACCTCTTGTCCAAAAGTGGATGGAAGTGAAGGCAGGAGCTGAAACCTCTGTCCTCTTGGACTAGGTGATGCATATGTGGAGGAACATAGAAGCAGGGACCTATCACCAGAAAAATTTAACCTTTGAGAGCAAATAGGAAGTTTGTTAAGGGAATGTTCTTTAGACTATATCCATCCTATCTTTGTCCTTGGGTAACAGTGATCTAACTCAGATGTCTTCCAGTACCTAACTTTATTCCAATCACTTTGGCTATAAATAAAATAGCCAATGTTGCTTGAAAAACTGGAGCAGATGCATGAAGTTCCAACATCTGTATTCTGGCTTATGAAATAAGTGCTGGTAACTCAGTGACATGGCACTTTTCCATCAGAAGGGTGTGCTTGTGGCTCAAGCCACTGGAGGACTTTAAAGACTGGAGAAAACTGCCCGAGGAGAATGATGTGGAAACTTGACTACGTGGGTTGGACGAGATGGGTCCCTTCCAATATCAACATCCTGATTTGGAGTTGATAAGTATTGGCTGCTTTCTTAAAATAGACTCTTACACTAAGAGTGCCTTATATTTAAAATCTCTCTCTCTCTGGTGTGAGAAATAATCTGTCTAGTTCCAAATGTGAACCATGCTTTTTGGGAAAGAGTGATGCTGTTTTTATGCCATCCTTTACCTTTTTTCTGTTGAAACTTTAGCCGAACCACAGAAATGTGCACACAGCTGAGTAACAATGCAGTATTGCTGCAGCTATGAGAACCCCTTTCTCCCTCCTCTTGAGTCAGCTCTGAAACTTGCTATAAACCTCTTAGGTTAGAGACTGTTTACAAGATGCACAGTATGTTATTTGGTGCCAGTCATTTTTTCCTTCCTGCTTCTCAAGTGCCACAGACTGATACAGGTCAGGGTACTGTCATGTTCACAATCTTAAATATGGGTTTGCTACGGACAACTCTCAGAAAGCGTGTAAAACCTAGTTTCCTCATTAATTGCTTTGGTGCTAGTCAACTCAAGATTATTTTTCTCTCCCCTGATGTTCTTCCTGTGTGTATCAGAAATCAGGGTTGCTGGCTTAAAGCAAAACCAAACTTTCTTTCCAGTAGCCTATGGAGTCAATGCAGCTAAATGTTGGCCAGGCTCTTGTGTATTTGTATTGCTGTTGATTTAGGCTCCAGTTAGTTGCACGGAACGTGGTACGTTTGACCTTTTGGTGGTTTGGCTTGGAGGCTGTTTTGTGCCATTTGGGATAGGCAGGAGTAAAAGGCAGCCTGGGATCACAGTTGGCCCAGCTGAATTTTCAGAACTGACACCACAAGGATGGCCTTTCTCCTAGTGAACTTGGGGAGGGTGGTGGGTGGGTGGGTGTGGAGGGGGTTATTTTCTGCTCAAATTGCTTTGTCCATTCTAATGTTGCTTCTGCTGCCTTCCTTTTAGTACAGCAGCTTTCCATCCGTCAGCTTGCTTATACCCACTGTGACTCTTATTCCAGACTCATTGCACCTTCTAGCATGCATCCCTCACCCTACGAGTCTCTGTTCGAGTGGCTGAAAACCATCTCTTCTCTCACTGAGCTCCCCAAAAGGCTGGCTCTTGCTCTAGGGCCTGCCTTGCTGTCTGCTGGACAAGGGCTGCTGGAAGCGCAGGGTACCTCCCGGGTGAAGCAGTGTGCAGCTGAGGCTTCAGGTTGAATAAACAGTCGACGCTAGATGAGAGCTGGCTTGGGAAAGCAAGGGCTCAGCTCTGCTGCGGGGAGGAAGGAGCTGGGGAGTGGAAGCGCCAAGGAGAGCGCTAGGACCCGGGGAAGCTCCCAGCTGGCTGCAGGAAGAGGTTTATTTTTCTTTGTCTGGTTCCCATTTCTGCTGCCCCAGCCCAGCTTATCTGGACAGCCAGGGCTGAGTGGCGTCTCAGCCCCTTCCTCTGGGCCAGCCCGATCTCCGCACAGTTGCTCTCGGAGTCAGACTTGGTGTGTAGTGCCTGATACCACTGGTTTTGGCATTACAGATAGCTCCAGAGTGAGCCTTCATCCCAGCTGAACTGGGAGCATTCACAAGCTTGTAAATGAGATGATCGTATTCTCTCCCAGGTCTGCCTGTTCCAGTGAGCACGGGTGTCCTAACCCAGCAGTCCTCAGCCAGCTTGAGCCCTGGATAACACAGGGGTAGGAATTAGTAGGGAAGAAATTTGCTGTGGCAATCTCTGATCTGTAAAGAGGTGGAAGTGAAGGATTTCAGAGATGGTGTAGCCCATAAATGGACAGAAGGTCATCTAGAGCACACATGTAGCTTGTTTGCAGCCCTTCTGTTCTCAGCACTGCATAGCTCCCACTGTGATGATGACATGCAGAGTTCAAATTGTCTGTGTAAGTCACTGGCTTGTATAAAGTATAGAATCCAGCAGTTTCTTTTCCTTTAATAAATTACACTTTTATGCTGAAGCTTAAAGCAAAAATGCTGTCCTTGCAGCTTTCCTTGTTCCTCTAGTACTGTAGGCTAAAATTTTCTTTCCATCTTAAAAAATCTTAATGCAGTCTTGAACATGGCATGGGCTTTTTGCAGCAAATAACATGATGGCTTGAAGCATATCCGTGTATTCTAGAAAGCCGTTTCTGAAAAATGACTGCTAATAGTTGCTTTCTAATCTGTTCAAATTGCTTTTATCCCAGCATGGCTCTGAGTATAAGGTACGTGAAAACTTGGTGTTCTCTTCTAAAGTGCGACTGACAAACCTGAATAGAAAAGGGTTTTAAAGTGGGTTCCAGATTTGTCTTCTGGAAAAGTGCAGATCTTTTCTTAAACCCTAAATGAGCGGTGGTCCTCTTCACCTTTGAGGGTCTCTAGGAGAAGCCTTCGCTCAGTGTGGTGGTTCTTCTCCTGCCAAATCTTTGCTCCCTTGTCCCATCCACAGCTCCCTTCTCAAATATGTGTGGCATGTATTTCCTGCCCTTCTTGGGTTGGTAATTATTTCTGTAGTCTATTAAATGATGCTGCCCCAGGGACAGTGCTCTCCTGACAATGCAGGTGATGCCCCTGCTTAAAGACCTAAACCATCCTGGGATCTGTGTGAAAAGAGCAGTTCCTCAGAAAGCTTCCAGTGTTTCATCATGTCCTGCAGTACCTTTCCGGTATTTCTGGCACTGCCTGTTCCTTGCTTGGTCTTTGCTGTGTAATCGGACAGATCCCATATTGGTGCAGGATGATTTTTTCCTAACGAGCTATACAACGTACAGTAAAAAGGGAAATGCGCATCCTGGAAGAACACGTATCTAAATGGAGCTAGATGTAGGGGTGTCAGGTTGGCTCTGGGCTTGAGTGCTCCCATTGAGATGAACTAACTCTGCCGGTGATCCCTAAATATCCGTATCTTCAGAGTTGAAACAAACCTCCTGAAATTGAGGAGTTCGTTAGAACAAAACCAACTCCCGAAAAATACTCAATTGCTTTCTGAAGCTAACGAATGCTGCCGCTCTTAATGCTTTTGTCAATTACTGTAAATATCCCTGGGTGCTTATGAGGACCCGAAGCACTCCCCTGGTAGATGTTTTGTTCCATTTTTTCTTTCTCCTAGACAATATGTTTTGAGCTGTTTATGATTTCAGTAACCCTGCTGGCATTGCTTCACTACTTTTCCCTTCCCTCTGGGATTTAATATCTTCGGGGGAACTTTCTGCTTAGCCTGTTCCTGCTTTTTCAAAGGGGAGTTGTGAAGTACTTGAAGTACTGTTTTGAGCTCCCAAGTCACAAGAACACTTTGTGTAAATTTTGTATGTTTTTAATCAGTCCATATGCCTGCCAAGAGCCGGAGATTAATGCTCTTGGATGCCATAAACACGGGAGGAAGTGCAGAGTGTGAATGTCCTGCCCTGCTTAGATGATAGGAGCAGTAGAAACATGAAGCTGGAAGCCTCAGCTCTTACCTGGAAGCACCGTGGCATTTATTTTATTGCTAAAATCTGCAGAAATATTAGGCCGGCACTGAGTCACTCTGGTTTCTTAATAATCAAATGTCACAGCTGCAGAGTTTGCATACAATATGCTCAGAGCCTCAATTTCTCAAATAACTTCTGTATATTTATACACAGTTCTCATTTTCCTTCCATCTCTGGCCCAGTTATCTGCAGATATCTCACATTTATATTTCACCTTTCTCCCATATGTTTTGTGTACATACTAGGCATTTTGTTTTGCAAAACACTTAGAAGTGTGTGTGTGTGTGTGTATGTGTATGTATATAACGAGACATTGTGGCAGCCAGTACAGGAATGAAGCAGTGTTTAGCTCCAGCCAGGATTTAACAGATCTCTCCTGGCCTGTGCTTAATTTTTCTTTTTAACTGCAGCTGCTATTTTTACTTTCAGCTTCTCTCTGGATTGCCTTACATTTTGCTACTTAGAATTTCATGAGTCACTTATCGCCTGTGACCATTCTGAGCTTGCTCTTCCCTGTGTGTGTTGATCCTTGCTCTGACCTATAAGTGATGTGAAAATGCTTGTTCTTTCAAATACGCTTAGCTTTGTCTAAGGGGAAAGACAAGACACCTAAAGGTAATTTGTATCCCTGTCTCCACTCTGGTCTGACGTGCAACTGTGCACCCTCTGCAGTTTCCCTGCTACAATCGGAGAATGGGAACAGACTGACAAAATGGGGTAGGTGTTTTCAGCCTGGCTTGGCAGAGATTCACTGCCTTCTGTGCCAGTCTCTGAAGCCTGGGCATCAGGTGATGGTGCACCTAAGCAATGAGATGAACTGATATTGGGCAATTGCTTTGTGCTAGTTCTGCATGTTTTTCCAGAGATTGCTGCTCTTAGCACCAGTCTCTAAGCTTGTGGATACTGCTTTTCCGCTTCCAAGAAGGACCGCTCAGTGATTCACTCCGAGCAGGAGGTCCAGAGTTTATAGCTCTGCCACTATATTCCATCAGCTACAGCCATATTTTTCTGTCCTGATCTTTTCCTCGTGAAGCTGGTGCAAAATTATTTATGGTATTGTTTTGGAAAGCTACTAGAATTTGAGTATGGTAACATAAACTGTTCTACTTCTGCTGTTAGCAAGCTGACATTACACAGCACCTCGCACCACCACTGTGCGGTGAATGCCTCCACGGTGAGTGCACCGTGTTATATTTAACTCGGTTGTTAGTGCTCTGAATGGGCTCCTAACCTCCAGGTTTCATAAAAAAGAAATCCTTGACTTTGCCAGCAAGAGCTTAATGACCTGAGAGCGCTGGACAAGGTACGCACCTCTGAGGTGGGCAGATCCTGTGCCCTTCAAATGGGGAACAGCCACATGCTAAACCAGTTGTCCCAGTCCGCAGAGGGGAGCAGGTACTAAGTTGAAGACTGGAGCAGAGGTCTTGCTCTCATGCCTTGTCCCCCATCTCCTACCATGGTTTCTCAACCTGTGGTGTGTGGCGGGCTTGTGATCAGTTACACAAGAAGGTAGTCCCTGAAATGAGTGCAATGTGTTTTTAAAAATTAAAAAAAACAAAGAAAAAAAAGAAAAAGAAAAAAGAGCATGTTCCCTTGCAGGCTTTTGGTTGTTTGGGAAGGGGGAAGTAGTTTAACATTAAGTTTAGACTAATCTTATTTGGCTGTTTGGTAACACTGCACGAGTACTTGGAAGATCTTTTTCCATTAGGTAGATTGTCCAGTGGTTAAAAAAAGCAGAGGAAAACCACTGCTCTTGACCTCTATGTGCTGTACATAAGCTCTTTTGCGTGCTGATCTCTGTGCACATAGTTCTGCCCCGAGCCTTGGGTGGTCACCCAAGCCATGTTGATTTGGTGTGGTATTTAAAACTCACTGTATCCTGCTTCAGAGAGACTGTAACCACCTTCCCACCTCGCCAGCCAGGCAGTCTGAACAGTTTCCTGACTTGGCCTTAATCACTCATTAAAAATAAAACTTTGAGGCTTGTCAGTCTTGCTGCACTGAAAAGTCAGGAGTGATTACATACCCTTGTCCTGTTGGCTGTTTGTTTGGCACCACCGTGGTACACAGATAGGAATCTGCTGTCACAGTTGTTCAGGTAGAGAAGTATCCAGCTGGCCTTATTTTATGAGCAAAGAGAGCCGACACGTGGGCAAGCAGTGGTGAATTTGGGATGGCTAAGTGGATATAAACCAGCTCCACTCTGGCACGTTCCCCAGAGCCAGTGGGAAGTCATCTTGCATTTATCACTGGTGTGGGTCGGCCATGTAGCTGACTCCCCGCGGAGCAAGAAGACGCAAAGCCGGGAGGCTGAGATGTGCTGTGTTTGCTGGCATGCTGCTTTTCCTCCTTCCCACGTGCTTCTGCAGGGCTAGCAGCACTAGCATTGCTTTGAAGAGCTGTGCTGCAGGAAAAAAAGTCTCTTTTGGGGACCTCTCACCTAACCTACCAGCTAAGCTGGCTGTACTTTGAGCTCAGATAAGCATCAGGCTACCTTTTGAAGCACCGCTTGTTGGATTGCAGCCAGTTCCTGACTTGGAGGAGAAGCACCGAGGAGTGAAGAAAGCTTTTTGCTGCTGCGGGCCAGCATATTGTGCAGCTGGAGCTGTGGAAAGAGTGAGGAGGCAGTCCCCAGCCCAGGTTTCTGATCCCTCTAATCTCCAAGTTTCGTGTCCATTCTGCCTGAATCGTAGATGAGCAACCTGGGCAAGTGAAAGGTGTCCCTGCCCACAGCAGGGGGCTTGGAACTAGATCATCTTTAAGGTCCCTTCCAACCCAAACCATTCTGTGATTCTATGGTGGCTGTACCAAGGCAGGGCACCCTTTCTAAATCACAGTCTGGCCCTATAGGCATAGTGATAGGGGAGCAGTTGATGTGGAACAACCTCTTGCAGGAGCTTTCTGCCTAATGGCTCCACAGGAGAATGAGAGTTACCTTGGGAGTCCTCAGCGTTCCCCAAGTTATCCAAGTATTTGGGCTCTGCCTCTTGGAGGAGAACTTGCTGGCAAAGCAGCTTACGACAGCACGTTGGTTCTCGCAGTGCCTTGTAGCCATTTCCTGGGAGCTTTAGTCTGGAGCTGTTCAAGAGAGACGTTGACATCAGCATAAGTCTGAAATTCCTCCCTGGTTCTCCGCTGTGGTTTTGCTCACCTGGAGAGCGTGTTGAGCTGTCGTCCAACCGCAGGGCCTGATCCTCGAAGTGAGCATTTTGACCCAGCTGCGAGTCAGTGCCCTGGATGTTCAGACCCATCCACGGTTGGTGCATGAGTGTGGTAAGAGAACTTCATTTTGTAGTGGAATACGTCCAGGTGCTGGAGCTTTATGAATGTTCCTGTGTTTGCAGCACCAAGGAAGATTGACAGCCTTTCAGTTAGCTGATTTTTAATTTAAAAATGTGCTTCTCTTCAGAGATCTTTGTCAACCCAAGAAGTGATTACTCCAGGGCTATTGCTGAAATACCAGCATTTTTGAAGGTCAGCATCTGCATGTTGGTCTCAGCGTCTTCCAGTATTGGAACAGATGTGTCCCTTTTCATTGTGTCACTCTTTTATGGATGTACACGGTTTTTTCTGTTATCACCCAAAGGCTTTTCGTCCATACGGATTTTATGCAGTCCTGCTTTACTGTCAAAGGCAATCCTGGATCTTGACATCTCTGTATGGAAAGGGTGAACTGCAGCCACTCTGCTGCTCAAACTCCTCCTAAGCATTGGCTTTTCAAGGGTTTAGTGTGAATATTGTTTTAAAATGTTAAGTATTTACAGCCAGTCCAGCACACAGAATCACAACTGCTCAGGCTGTGACCTCAGCTTCATGCTCCAGGCTGTGGTGAGAACCCAGAATCAAGAGCCTGTCCCTTGGTACACTTCATGGAGTGCTCACATGCAGTTCTGCACATTGTATTTATCGGGGTGTGCTGTATCCGACTATGGCAATAAACCTGCCCAAGTGTTTATGCTGGCTTGGGAGGTTTTTTTACTCCTGGCTTACTCTTTAAATTGGAATTTCATTTTTACATGGATGTTTATGCTTGCTTTGTCTTTTGTATTTGTGAAAATAAATACAGAGCAAGTCAGTATTATTGGAGCAATGTTAGTGCTTTATCACTGCAGGTGACTTACATTTCAAATAAAGGAGGAGATAATAGTTTGCACTTGTTTCTGTGTCAGGAAAAGGAAAGGTATGAACAGAGCTGCTCTTGGCCTGGGCACTTTGTGTCTCTAGTAGAACGAGACTGGGGGGGACCTTGAAGAGTTGCAAGAAGATGTGGCAGTAGCCTAGGAAATGAGAAGTGCAGGGAGAGGATGTTTGTGTCCTTTCTTGAAGAACAACTGTTTAATTTGCAAAGCTTGAGACCAAGGACAGTGTGAAAGAGGGGATTGTTCCTTGCCTGGGTGAATGCAAAGATGACAGAGAAGAATTACAAATCTCTAGCACAGGAGCTGCTTGAGCGGACAACCTAATCTCGTCTCCCTGGATATCAAGTGCAGCTTAAATGCTGAAGTGTGTGAACGAAGAGTTGACCAAAACCTTACAGGTGGGTTTGCAGCACAGCCTTGTCCAACTAGCTGCAGGTGGCTGTGGTAGAAGGTCCTAGGAAATAGGTGAGATGATCAGAAAACCAAAATAAGAGAAGGCAGAGGGATGCCTGCTTCTAGCTGGGTTAAAGAGAGCTGGTCTGTGTCCTAGGTACCAGAATAAAGAGTGTTTTACTCAGCAGGTCTACACATAACCATCCTGTTCTTGTTACCTGGTGTCTTCCCCATCCTCTCTTCTATTCTGCTTTATCAGAAACTTGACTTCCCCCCCGTCCAAGAGAGAGACAGGATTTAGAATCGGGATCAGTGCTCACTGCAGTTCTCCAGTGCCAGCATAATGGATCTGTGACCTGATTTAAACCTGTGAGAGCCACCATAACTTAAATATTTGATGGAACTACAGCTTCCCTTTTTAAGTCTGCTTCAGTTTTTCAAGCTAAATCATGGCAAGGTATTCCTGAAAGACACTTGTTAGCGTGGAGTTGTTTATGTAGTTCTCAGTTCTTTTGGAGATTTTTCTGGCTCCAGGCATCGTTTCAGCCTTGCGTTGTATTTATGCAAAATCCGAGCAGTACAAGTAAACATGAAATTATATTTGTATCATAATACATGGAAAGAAAGGGAGTTAGATCCATATGTCAGCTCTTACCGCAGATGGGAACCATGCTGTCACTCAAATCACGATCACTCCTTGTTCAGGCAGAGATGGTAGATCAGTGCTGCTGCAGTGTCTCGCCTGGAGTGGCTGGATAAAGATGGTGAAAGTAGGGAGTTTGCTGAATTGTAAACAGTGATGTGTTTCATTTGCTTGCTTTTTGGGCTGCTCTGGAGAGGAAATTTCTGTGTGTTTTGAGTCCTGGAAGGAGCTTTTTAAATGGGTTGAGTCAATATCCCAGACCTGAATTTCTTACCCATTTTTATAAACATGGACCTTTGTCAGAAGAAATAGTTGCTGTTAGCTTATGTAGATTTCTGTTTATTGCAGAAAGGCGTGATTCCCACATGGGCAGTGTTTGTAAGGCTTTACAGGCTACGGGATGGCGGTACAACAGAGGAAAGAAGGTGTTATTTTAAGTTTTGAAAAAAAATCAACATTAAGATCTGGAAGCAGCTTAACCTGGTACAGAACCAAGGGTTGCAGTAGCCCTTCTGGGCAGAGCCCAAATGATTCAGACAAGCCAGCAGAAGCTTATAGCACTCAGTCCATTTGGTAGTGAAATAATTTGAAAACCCAGTTCTGTATCCCTGTACTGTGTCCATTCTGTGCTGGGGATGTGTCCTGCACCCAGGTATTTGGTTCCTCCTATTGAAAGGAAAGGGAAGAGTTTGAAAGCTGGATTCTGCATGCACTCCCAGCCATAGTCTGAAACACTTAACTTTCCTTTTGGGTTGGCTAAGCTTTACTTCTACACAGGCTATGGTGCCAAGTATGATGTGTTACAATTCCTTTAATATATTTGTTTTATAAACTATTTGTGGGAGAAGAAGGGAGTGTTTTTGAGGTGCCATCTGCCTTGAATTGAGGTTAAAGTAGGCAGCTGGAGAACCCAGCTTACCTCTAGCTGCTGCTATCAGATGCAGTCTTTAAAGTGTGAGGCATCTTCTACCATGATGTTGTAAGTCTTGAAACCACAGGATTTTTTTTTTTAACTATTTAATTTGCAAGTCAGAACAAAGAAAGAAAGCACTATCAAATCTACAAGTCTGAAATGTGGACAAAGCTAAGATGAGCTTTCTCATTCTAGACCTTGCATTTGAGCTGTTTTCTTTTCTAGGAGACCAGAGGTACCAACTGATGAATTAATTGCTGTATTGCTGCAAAACTTGAAGTATTAGCTCTCTGCACCAGTCTCTGCCCCTGAATGGCTTACAAATGTAGACTAATGTTGCAGCTTCAAGTTCATAGAAAATCTTTGTTGGGAGACATTAAAAAAAAAAAAAATCTTAAAGCAAATGTTGAGCTTAAGTTTTGTGTTTACTCAGAAGATCCTTGCAGCTTTTAAAAACACTTCATCTGATGTGGGTGCTCAGTTGTGCTGATGGGCAGTTCTTTTCAAGATAATACTGAACCACAAAACCTTTGCGGTCCTGTTGCACTGTAAGCAGAGGGTTTTGCTGAATTTTGAGGGAATGGAGAAGGACCCTAGGGTCAGAATGTTGCCTGGTATTTTAAAGGTTACATAGCTATATATAGCTAAGGCTGGGTTTTCTTTGAAACTAGTCAGATGAGTCCTTGTTCAGTAAATTCCAGACTTCTCTTGTAAAAAAAACAAAAAAAACCAAAAAAAAAACAACAAAACCACCACCACCAAAAAAACCAACCTCTTTGGCTGTTTTCTGCTATTTACCAGTGTGTCTCTTTGCAGGATTCATGAATAAAATTTTCCATCCCAACATTGACGAAGCGTAAGTAAATCCCTAGTGTGTGGTTTTTCTAAGGAGTTTGTCTAATTGTAACTGTATTTTGGCTTCATGTAATACCCTGATGAGTTGAATAATGCTTTCATCAATCTAAGAGTCCAGAGTGGGGGATTTGATTTGTTGCAAGTTAACTTTCAGGAGTGGGTCAGGCTGTGGGCAAGACTAGAGCTGCATGCTGCAGACACTGTTGCAGATGTGGTCTTGGTATTGAAACATGCTTCCTTTACAGAAAATTCAAGGTTGCCAGTCCCCCTCCTCATTGGCATTGTGCCGGCTTTCTAGCAACAAGAACAGCGTTGGCTAAGCCATAGCTCCCTCTTTAGCTGAAGTTCACGTCTATCCTAAAATTCTTCAAAACATAAGATGTTTTGCCACATTTTTTTCAGTGAAGGTTTGTTAAGGGGAGCCACCTATGCTTCAGTCTCTCCAGCAGAGGCCCATATGGACCAACTAATTCAGTAAAGGCTCCAATTTACTTTCTTTTGTGCAGAGTATGAAGATTCATGTAGTTAAAGGCTGCCCCTCTATTAACCACAAGGTAGGAGTAAATCATAGCTTATCTGAAACAGTGGGGCAGAAGCAGGGCAGGGAAAGGGAGGGGGTAGATTGTATTAAATCCCCAGAGTATTTTTGAGTGTGACTGTGTTTAATTCCATCCTTTCCATATGTTTCAGGTCAGGAACTGTATGTCTAGATGTAATCAATCAAACTTGGACAGCTCTCTACGGTGAGTTTGGCATTTCCTCGCAAGCTGATCACATGAACATCCGTATTTGGTGTGTTAACATAACACAGCTTGCTGGAGACAGATGATCTTAGGCCAACTTTTGGGTTTTGTATTGTTTGTTGTTTTTTTTTTTAACTGAAGTTTTAGACTCCTCACTGAGCCACAATCACGTGAAAAGTAACATTTTCATGTGAAAATACTTTTGTAACCTGTTTTTATCCCAGAGAGGCAAAAATATTCCATAAACCTTACAAAGGATCTCTCAATCCATTGCTTGGCATTGTCTGGCAGCTGCGCAACAGCACCCCGCCACCATTCGGCATTGAAAGAGAAGAGTGACTGTATCTAAAGTGAAATCTAGTTCCAGTTACCCCATCCATGTTTTGTACGTGCATTCAAGCTGGTATTCTTCATGCACAAGGCTATGATCCCAATTCTACAGAAGCTGGCACCAGAAACCATTCCTGTTTATCAGCATCATTTTGTTGCAGGCTAAGAGGTGGTATTGCATCTAATGACTGCACTGCTTGCTGCAGAATGTTTTGAGTTTCCCATTAGGTTGTTTTTGGCTATAACTGTCCTTTTTAGAGACATAAAAAGATCAGCCAGTAGCTGAAGACCCGTTAAAATTGCATTTAGGGAAAGCTGAAATTGTTAAAAGGAATACAGCTGAGTATCTAGTCTAGGTTGGCTGCATTTTAAAAATGTGAACTTCAGATGTTCCAATTATGCTTTGTGGAAGGGTATTCAGGGGAACGTGCACGTCAAATCCTTCACGTTCTTCCATGAAAAACTGGTTTTACCTATGTAAGTTGAAGCTTTGAAGCAGTTGCTAGAGAGACAAGCTACTTTACCTTCCTCACAAGCACAATTTGTAAGGAAATACTAGACTTGGTGAATCCTGGGTGGGAAATTGCTATAGCAACTTGCTGAACTTTACTCCTCGTCAGAATGCCTGAAGTCCTCGTTTACTAGATGCATGGTGTACACTTCACATGGTTTTGTTGTGAGAGATCAGCTTAGCCGTGACCCAGGTGGTGTTGCTAATGGAGGAAGAAGATGCTCTTGTGTCCTGCAAGGATCTGATGTGAGACGGAGGAATTAAAGCGGTGTTAGCAAACCAAGCCCTCTGCTGGGGATGAACCTGCATGGTTCAGCCAGCAGCAGAATCTAGCTCAGTGCAGCATGTGCTGCTGTTCCACAGTCTTAAATGCCACCTGCAGATTGTGGGGATCGCTGGACAAAAGAAAATCACTCCAGTGTAACTGTGGTGGTGGTTTTGTGCTCTGGCACTGTGGGTTCTGCTTTGGAAGCCACGCATGGATAGCCTCCCTGTTCTGCAGCATACTCTCCCAGACAGCCACAGTGAGGTTTCTGCACTATTTCCAAACAATTTCATAGGAAGGCTTTCTGTGAGAGTTTTTCTAATGAGCACTGCTGTATTTTTTGTCATCATTGTTGCTTTTAAAGGTAGAAAAAACAGCTTGGGATTTACTACGCTAGTGATGTATTAATATCAACAAGCTTGCAAAAATCTTTTGCATTTTTCCTTGTGGTATCAGTGATAGGTGCTAGGCAACTTGAAGGTATCAGATGTGTATTCTGTACAGAGCACCTTCCACAGTAACTGGTGAAACTTGGCATTAGAAAGTGCATCGCTTGACAGTCATCTTATTGCAAACTTCCCTTGCCTTGCTGCAGGATGCCTTGAAGCTGCAAGCCGGACACTGGGGTGACTGCATTCGCTCTGCCCCTTCCCTCGGAAGTCATCAACACTAGAGTGCCTACGTCACCTCTTCACTACAGGGCTTTGCCTCCTTATGTGAAATAAGGAGGTGGCCCATTTCTGAACATGAAATGAAAAGGGGGAAATAACATTCCTTGGTGCCTCTCAGCACAGCTGTGTTGTTGGGAGCGTCACCCCTTTAAACCGGAGTGCTCCTGCGCTGGCAGAGGAAATAGGTCTGATAATTCAAGGAATAACTAAGGTGGAAGAGACCCAGAATAGCTACCAATACGTTCATGAAGACCTTGTGGTTAAATTCCCTCTCCATCCTTAATGACGTATCGAGTCTTTAGCGCTGTGGTTAGGCTTCCTGCATGTGTTCAACTAGTTCCTGCTAAGCCAGTGCCACTTTGGAGGATTTGAAAGAAGGGGGAAATTACTGAGGTCTCTTAAAAAAAGAAGAATCCCTGCAGTGTGTCCTGTGAGCTGTGATGGCCTCCCAGGGCCCTGCTTGCTCAGCCTACATGACAGTTTAGTTGTCTAACGGCCACAGAGAAAGACTTGATCTAAACCTGCTCCTTGCAGAGACTTGACCCAACTTATTGCTGATGGTGTCTGAACCCGCTCCCTAGGAGGGTTAATTGGTTTACCAAGAACAAGCCACTACCATGGCAGAAAGTATTCTTACAGAGCATTCTCACTGTTGTTTGTGGTACCTTTTTAGATTAGGATCCTTCTTCCAGTTGCTGTTGTGCTTCATCCTAGAAGAAGCTGGTGGCACCTGGCTGCTCAGTGTGCCAGCTGTGGCAAACTTGGTCAAGGCACTGTGTGCGCTCTGAAGTGCTTCATCGCTGTCCTCAGCCAATATTGGAAGGGGCGACAGCTTCTATATAGCAGAAAGAGATTTCAGGGTAAAACCACCTAATTTCCTAGTGGTGTCCCTGTATAGCAGAGACCAGCCGATCGCTATCCATAGCAATCAATGTCATTACTTTTTGCAGTTGGGTGATGCAGTATCAGCTATAATGAACCCTATGCTCCTGAGTATATGAAGCCATGGCCTTTCTTCCTGTTTAGGACTCGGAGATCTCCTCCCCCCCTACCTGCCCACACATTTTTCATTAATCTTTCAGAAAGTTAAGGGCTCTGAGATCCCTGCCCACTGTCAGGTCTGGTTGAATTTAGTAGCTCCATGAGGCTCAGTGGTGGCTGGGCTCAGGAACAGTGACACAGCCTTGTTCCTGTACGAGGAAGGTTGAGATGGCTAAACTGCTCATCTGATGGATCCTCGGGAGCGTTGGGCTTCCCTTCTGACAGCTCCGCTTTGATCCATGCTAGAGGGGATGGGTGATGCTCATCCACAGGCAGGATTTCTCTGCCACCAGGAAAGAGACACTCCCTTTAATTAGGGGGGAAAGTGGGATCCTGATGAAAGATGTGTCGAATATTCACAAACAAAACCCAACAGAAAACCCCACACAGCGAATGCTGGTCTGCCTGTATCAGCAGCTCTCCAGTGGCTAAAGTGAAACCTGGCACACAGCCCTGCACTGGGGGTTTAATCTCTTCTCTGCGTGGGTGTACATGGTCCTTGTGAAGCCCCCAAGGAGAAATGATGATGCAGGGCTTGTTTCTGAACACCCCCACTGCTGAAGTGTGTCATCTTAGGGATGTGGGAAGAGGGTTTCGTGTGTCCACAGTTACTCATAGGCACCAGAAGTATGTTTCCTGTTGTGGATTATTTAGCGACAGATGCCAACTGGCACCAAGGTGTTAATGTGAGCGCTTCACATTCTGCAAATTGTTTTGGGTTGGAGGAGGGACTTGTTGGTTGCTCTTTCTATTAACACAATCATCTAAAGCACTCTGGAAGATGTTTTATGCTTGAGGTATGTCAATTTAGCCATGGAGCATGAGACATTTAAAGATGGCAATAGAAGGATGCAGAAATAGGAGAACAGTTCAGTGAGGGGTGAAGCACAGTGCTCTTTGTTTTTCTTTTTTCCTTTTTTTTTAAGCCAGGGCTGAGCCTCAGTGGAAAACAAGGCAATTGTGTCCTTCGACTGCTTTGTTTAACCCACAGATACCTGTATCTACGTTTTTGGGATGTCAGGTAGTTTGTGCAGTTAGCTGAGGAGCTGCAGCATACCTCCAGCAGCAGCAGCTCTCTTATCAGCCATGTATATGCTTTCCCTGATGCAGCTTCCTTTATTTTAACTAGCGCCCAGATTGTTGGTGCATTTGCCCTTGAAGCTTTGCGCTGCTGTTTCAGTGCCGGTGCTTGCAGGATGGTTAATTGTACTGACTCTGGGTCTGTGCACATGAACAATTGTGTCTTTCACTTGCAGATCTCACCAATATATTTGAATCGTTCCTGCCCCAGCTGCTGGCCTATCCTAACCCTATAGATCCTTTAAATGGTGACGCTGCAGCCATGTACCTCCACCGACCAGAAGAGTACAAACAGAAAATTAAAGGTAAGGGTGTAATAACATATTGCAGAATGAGTGGTGTTACTGTGATTCCACCCTGGGGGAATGAGGTCTTTGCTGTACATTTGTGTGTCAGTGCCCATTCCTTCCCATTATGGCATCCCTGTCTATTTTAAATGGGGGTAGTCTGAAGTAAGGGGTGGATGAACTGTTGCTGCTTGACGACTAAAGCTGGTGTATGCAGTATGTGGAGCAGGGCTTTTAAATCACTAGCAGACCCTAAGCAGGGAAGGCTGTAAGCAAACTGGGTTAGGATTCAACATGATTTTGAGAGATCGGAGAAACGATTCAGAAGAAAGGGTGTGTGACCGAAGAAGGGACAAGGAAAAGTGCTAAACTGAAATGGGAGCATCCAGTTGCACAATTACTAGATAGAAAGTGGCTTCTTAGCAGTTCTGTGGAAAGTGATCCGAGAGCAGCCATCAAGGAGTCAGTGATGCTGTTGCAGAAAGTACTTTTGTACTGTGACAGAGCAGGAATTTTTGTAAATGCCAAGTACTCATTCCATGCTACTTCCTAGTTAAGCCGAGGCTTATTAGTGCTGTGCCTGGTTCAGAGACTGCCATTTAAGAAAGCTGCAGACCAGTTAGTAGTGTCTCAAAGGGTGTAAAAAGGGCAGATGGTCTTGAAGATGCGTCTTAAGAGGAGAGATGGAAAGAATTGGAAGAGTTTAATCTAGAGGACCAGACAGGGTTATGAGCTTTGTGTCAAAGGTGCCTTCAAAGAAGAAGGGAATGATTTATCCTGTGATCAGTGTGAGCAGGATGTGGTCACAAGCGTGTAACTCAGCTGGGGGAGCCCAGGCTAAACATTAACAATGACTGGTGAGGGTATGTGAGCACTGGCAAAGCCGGTGAGGGTGCTGGTGTCTCTGGTCCTGGAAGGATTGGAAGGACATGCTAGACAAGGCTGAGAAATAGAGTCAGTACTTCTGTCGTGGTTTAACCCCAGCCAGCCACTAAGCACCACGCAGCCACTCACTCACTTCCCCCCCACCCAGTGGGATGGGGGAGAAAATCAGGAAAAGAAGTAAAACTCGTGGGTTGAGATAAGAACAGTTTAATAGAACAGAAAAGAAGAAACTAATAATGATAATACTAATAAAATGACAGCGGTAATAATAAAAGAATTGGAATATACAAATGATGCACAGTGCAATTGCTCACCACCCACCAATTGACACCCAGTTAATCCCTGAGCGGTGATTCCCTCTGCCCCCATTCCCCCCAGTTTATATACGAGATGTGATGTCACATGGTATGGAATATCCCGTTGGCCACTTTGGGTCAGCTGCCGTGGCTCTGTCCCCTCCCAACTTCTTGTGTCCCTCCAGCTTTCTCGCTGGCTGGGCTTGAGAAGCTGAAAAATCCTTGACTTTAGACTAAACACTACTTAGCAACAACTGAAAACATCAGTGTTATCAACATTCTTTGCATACTGAACTCAAAACACAGCACTGTACCAGCTACTAGGAAGACAATTAAGTCTATCCCAGCTGAAACCAGGACAACTTCGTTGGGATTAGGGAAGGCTCCCAGTAAGGACTCTCAAATACTTTGGATAAACCTGGTGATAGAAGGACTGTCCTAGCAAGCTGATAAGTGAAACACAAATTGAATTAGTCTTGCAAACGTAAGAAATAAAAAATAAGAATTGTGCTTTAAATTTGTGCTCTGCCTTCCCTAGAATCAGCTGCCTGCAAACAGGAGCAGGGCACCATTTCCTGATGTGACAGGCCTATGGCAAAGCCATGAACTTTATTTCTTCCCTGATCCAGTGAACACAATCAGCCTTTAATCTAACAGTGGGAAATTTACAGCCTTTGGCCCAGATTTGGTCTTCAACTAAGTTTTTAAGAGGCCATGACTGCCTGATTTTAGGGGGTTTTTTTTTGTTACTGAATAACCATAAGACTTGTTTGTCTGTGGGAGCCCTGCCAGAAAGGTTTGCAGGGCCTGTTCAGCAAGGAGAGCCTCCATGAGCAGCACAATCTAATCGCCTTCCTGGTGTGAGGTGGTGTAGCAGCTTTCCTAACGGAGCATTGTGAAAGTTTACTGGTGTTTGGAGAGCGCAGGTATCCCAGAAGGACGTGGGATTTGGTGGTGGAGTCCTTCCATCAGCTCTGCCACGTCACTCCAGAGTGGTTAAACCTCGAGTCACTTTGTTCAGATGCAAAATGACTCTTCATCAGCTGCAATTTTTGTTTGAGGGTGGAACTACAAATGAGGCCAAGTAAAGCTGTGATTTAAATACTGAGTTATTCAGCCCACTTTGCTTGACTCCTCTGTCAGCTGCACGACAGGATCGCAAGAACTACCCTGCAGATCTGGCCTGCTCAGTATCCTGAAGTCTGTCACCTGTTTTTTCATGTGAACAAGCTTCCAGGCAAAATGGTTTGTCAGATAAAATCTCCAGGGCCAACACAAGGGATACTTTGGGTGTCCTCTATGCTTTAATGAAACAGGAATAAAAAAAAGATAAACCCTTGGAAAAAAGCGAATAAACTGATGCTAGCCAACAGCAGGTGCTTCAAGGAAGATCTGAGGACATCCCTCAGGGAGGCTAAATGGGATAGTCTGCTCCCTCGTTTCCATCCTGCCAGCCAGGTACAGGCTGTGAAGATGATCTGGAAGGAGTTTTAAGTGCTTGCAACATGTCTCGTGTTCCATATACCCAAGAGTCCTGCCTCTGCTGTCTCTTCCCAGGCTTGCGTGACAAGTATAAGATAGAGCTAAACACTGTCATTCCTCATATTGTAGCATTTTTAAAAATAGCCTTGGACATGTTAAAATTGATGCAATGGATTGTAGCAGCTTCTCTGCTCTGGGAAACTCAGTAGTGCAAATACATAATTTATTGCTGCTTTTCTTCATTTTTTAGTTATAAGCACATAGAACAGTTGTTAGACATGGTGGTAGTGAAGCAATGGGCATAGGCTTAGAGATCTGGCCCAAGATTTGTAGTTCCTGTCATTCTTGGTATCAGACCCAAACAAGTAAGGATTTATTGTGAAACTTATAAATGTCCATTAATATTACCAATATACAGCTGGAGACTGTGATTCTTAGCATTAGAGCCTTTAGGTAGATGAAGTAGTTCATGGACACAGAGCCAAGTAAGTGCACCTTTAAAATCTCCCTGGCAGTCCTTAATGAGGTGGCTTGCCTGATCACTGCAAGAGCACCAGAGTGTGGGCTTCAGATTGAGCTGTTGGGAATTGGTGCTTGACTCCTGGGTGTGCTGCTTTTTCCTTCTCTTTGCTAGCTCTAATGTGAAAACTTCTTTTGGGAGGGTGGCAGTGGTGAGTAACAGCAGCTGAAGGATACTGAGGGGCAAGCTGAGTGTTTGCTGGGAGCAGAGGACATCTCTGGGAGCAGTTCTCCCATCCCACATCTCAGCTCTGAAGTTCCAGTAGAGCCCTTTGAACACCAATATGGCTCACAGGCACATACCAGCCACGAGGAGCAACCACAGCTTGTTCTTGTTGCTCCAGGGTTTAAAAACAGATGAATCAAAGTGGTGTTTCCCTGGTAGGAGTGGGAGCATCAAGGCTTTCCCTTCATGATGTGAACAGGCTTCGGCAGAGGACGGTTTGTCAGTAGTATTTAGATGGTGCCGTTTTCTTCCCTTAGTAGACTGAAGATCCAAGTTCAATACAATATTCAGCACAGAAGCTCCCTGGAAGTTTGATGTTTCCCAGATTAAACCTTCAGAAAAACCCAGCCCAGGGGCTTGGTAGCTTTCCTGGGTAGAAGATGGTATTTTAAATTTGAAGTGCTTCAAGTTGTGTTTTAGCTTAGGCTCAAGCAGGCCTTTTCCAACAGTAGGAAACAGTGGCTTCCGTGTCCAAATCTCCAGTGGCCCAGAGAGCACTTGAAGTAGTAGCCACTGAAGAAGTGCTGCTGGCCTCCTGTCCTGCCATGGTTGCTGGCTCGTGACTACTGTGTTTGGGGACTCCCAAGGCAGCTACAGCAGTTGTTTAGCTGGGTTTGGGGTAAGCGTAGAGGGAATGTATTTCTCAGGTGCCCAGTGAGGGGTTGCCTTTGTCATCCAAGGACATCCAAAGTCTTACAGCAAAGGAGCTTGGGTTCCCTTTGCTGGATTGTGTAAGGAATAACAATTTATCTGGGCAAACACCCTTTCCAGAGGGATTAATTCTTGGAAAGCTATGGGAAGGGAGGAGCTGCTACAAGGATATGTCATGTCAGCATCTCGTCTCTTTAGCTTTGCTTGTCATCTACTGCCGGCCCACCTTCCTGTGTAAATTCTGTGAAGACACGCTGCTTTTTTGGGTCCCTCCTTCAGTTAGTCCCTCTCATCTTTAAGCCATTGGGTCTGTCACACCAATTCTTCTCACTTGCAGTGTCCTTCTATTTTGGCAGATGGCCCCTGTCCCAGACTCTGCAACTCCTGTTCTCCGGTGCAGGCAGCAGATGTGATCAGGCAGGGCCTAGGCTCCATGGTGACACAGGCAAGCACTTTCCAAGACGGGGGTTCTCGGTGGCCAGGACCTGAGGATGGAGCACAAGGGTGCTTTTCTGTTGATACCACGTGGGCTCCAGCAGCCTGAGGGCAATCCGAGACCTTGAGTGCTCCCTGCTTCCCAGTGTTTACATAGCTGCCTTCAATACTTTATCAGTTCTTAACAAGTTCTTGTAAAACAGATTTGAACAGCTGCTTCTGTAGTCCGAGTGAGCAGGTTAATAATGTATATTAAACAGTCAGACTGAAGCTGCGTGCGTCATTAGATGGAGAAGCTGAAGCTCACTGGGCTCAGAAGCACCTTCCAGCTAGCGCTCTCAACTTTTCCAGGGTGGAGCAGGTCTGCCGAGGCTGCCAGCTGCTCCATCCTGGGAACTCCTCCATGAAGTGTTGGCTTCAGGTTGCTCTGTCTTTACTATACACCTGAACCCAGAGTAACATGTTTGGGCTCAGTGTCCTTACGTCAGCTCCAGAAACGCAGAAAAAAACCCATGATGATGATGCAGATCTCTTGCAGAGTATTGTCCCTTCCAGTAGGCTGAAGGATGGAAGCGCAGAGGGAAAGAGGCTTTAAGAACAGCCAGGCTCTGCAAAGCACAGTCTTTAATACCTGGGTTGTAGCACTTGGTTATCTGGCGTTAGATGTATCCTCCCACAGCTTTGTCTGTGTATCCACCTGCAGATAGAGTATGGAATAAAAAGCAGTCATCTGTGTTCCTGGAGGAGAGGTGCTGCTTGTGGAACTCGTTCCCTGGGAGGAACTAAAGAACATACAGCTGGGATGGCTGCTGGGCTGGGACTGGGATGTGACATTCACATTTCCGTGCACGGGCTCATCTTTGAGCGCAAAGGGATGGTGGTATTCCCTCTTTCTTAATTTTTTTAATACTACTGTTTGGAGGAGGCTTTGTCGTATTTTAGTACCTTCGTATCTGGAAAGATAACAAGTTTGCAACTGGAATTCCCCAATGGCAGTGTGACCACAACACCTCTCTCCTCCCCTAAGTGCGTGACCTGCAGTGTGGAGGAAGCGCTGTCGGGATACTGAAGTTACATCACTTCTTCATACTATGAAGCCGCTTTCTCAGTGTAGGGTGGAAAAGAGGTGATAAATAAGAGGAAGACTTGAAGCTGAGGCTGAGCACCCCTTCTTCAGCCCAGTTTTGTGCCAAGTTTTCACCCTTGCTCCACTCTGCACACCTGCATGTGTGTAAGGAATAGGCTTTCTCTGCTCAAGGTGGCCTGCCTGCTGGGGACACCAGCCCCTCCTCGGATCTCGGAGGTGACACTGCGGGAGCCTTCTGCGGCCACAAAGGAAGGAAAGGGATTGCCAGACTTGGTCTGAGTGATCTGATCCACTTTGTGTTGCCTTTTTGCTCTGTCCCCCTGCATGGAGGCGACTGTGGAAGCCACACAAGCCACAGTTGGCAGCAGTTACTTTACTTGCCTGCAGGAATCCCAGTAAACCAGTTTTCCTGCTTGCTGTACAGCTTCCTGCTTCCTCCTGGCTGAAGTTCAGGGTGTTGATCTGGGTGCCTAGAGCCAGTGTGGTTTGGACCCCGCTGTGAGACACGGTTTCCATCAGTGACCTGCAGTGCGGTGGCCCTTCTCCCCACGGAGGGCTGCCTGCGGGTCCTTCTCAGCTAATCCTATGGCTGCTGTCCGATGCGAAGCAGGTTGCAAGACTTGTGTTTTGAAAACAGTGCCTGGGGCAGACCTGTATTTACTTTAGGGCTGGGGGAGGGAGCTTTTGCTTTTTATTAAAAAAAAAAACAAAACAACAAAAAAACCCAAACAAAGCAAAACCACCAGTGCACCTATTCCTGCAGTGGTCTTCTGATCTGTGTTCTCTGTCCATCCTTCTTTACACTCTGCTTCTGCAGAGTTTAGCCTGGAAGTTCAGTCTGGCTCTCAGCTTGGTTTTGTTGATGGTGGTTCTGCCCTATCAGTTTAAACTCTCAGAGCTTCATTTCTTAAAGTCAGGCTATATAGTGACATCTTGATGTCTTTTAAGCTTGTTCTCTAGGTCACCATAGTAGCTCCCATTTCAGCAGTAAATTGAATCCTGTCCTATTAAGTGAGATACACCGTACCGGGGAGGACTTAGATTGTTTCCAGCTACGAGCATGTGTGACACTGACATAGGAGCCTTGGGATCATACTTGTTTCCAAGGGTCTTACACGTCTCTAAGGTCTCCATCAGCTGTTGTTGGACAATGCTGCCTTTGGCCTGAGAAATATGGTAATCTATATGACTTATCAAACATGATGTGATCCAACCAGCCTTTAGTCATAGTTCACTCATTCACTGACTGTTGAATATATGCTGCTTATATGTCTTTTCTTTTCTGTCACATACAGAATACATTCAGAAATATGCAACAGAAGAAGCACTAAAAGAACAGGAAGAAGGCACCGGGGACAGCTCGTCTGAGAGCTCCATGTCTGACTTCTCGGAAGATGAGGCTCAGGATATGGAGTTGTAGTAGAAGAGGCAACCTGCTTTTCAGAGAGACTCTAATTTCCTAACCATGAGAAGCAGACTATAATATTCATATTTAAACAAAGCAATTTTTTTTATTACTAAACAAGGTTTTTATGAATAATAGCATTGATATATATATATCACCCTTTAGATCTTGATTTTCTTGGTCATTTCTCGAACCCGAGGTGCATAGCATATTCCCACATTCCATTTTGGTAGCAATATGCAGCCCGAATGCATGCATTCAAATTCCATTTGGCCAAGTCAACTTGTGTGCTACTGAACTGTCAGCTAAAACAGCTGCCCTGGTAGGTAGGGAGTTAGCAAAATGATGTTTGCTTTCTTATTGATGTTTCCAAAGACGCCACCTTGGATGCTAACATGGAACAGCGTTTTCTCAAAGTATAAAATCTGGGGGATGATATACTAACTGAGTAGATCAGACAGTGGAATAAAAGGTGCTCCTTCAGGTCAACCTTGCTGATCGTATTTTATGTGGAGTCACATTAAAAAAAAAAAAAAAGAAAGAAAAACAAACAATACAAATGCATGGAGCTATTCAGAGCATTGAAGCTTAAAAATTTTGACTTGGATTTTAAGTCCGTTTTTATATGTGGACTCCTGCCTGCCCTTCTGAACTGTAGGGACTGACAACCACTGGTCTATTTGCTTTTGGGACTTTTGAAAGCCTTCATCTGGATGTTACTCACTTTCTTGGTCTGGATTACGAGCTGTTCCCTTTTCGGGAGGAAAAAAAAAAACCACCACAAACGATGCTCTCTGAACAGTGCTTTGATTTAGCTGGAGCACATGTGAAGTCAAACTCTTACTTTGTCATAGTTTTGAAACTGCTGCCCTTTAATGGCTTCAAGTTTGCTTTTTTTTTTCTCTTGCTTGAAGTATGGTTAAACACCTCGCAAACACTCTCCATCTCCTAAGAGGGTCCTCTGACCAGATGGATTAGCCTTGCCGAGAGCTTCAGATCCACGACGATTGGCCCATTGGCTGTAGTCCACGAATCCATCGGCACTGATTTTATTTTCCTTTTTTCCTCCCCCTTCTGCACCAGCTTGGTAGCCATCTGCTTGTGTGTGTACAACAGGATTAAAATTTCTTAAAAGTTAACAAAGAATATGATCTAGAAAAATTTGAGATGAATAAAAAAGCCTAAAAGCACCAACTGAGGAAGCAAGTGAATCTGCTCTGTTTTGTTTTGGGTTGTTTTGTTGTTTTTTTTTCCAGGATGCTTGTGAATTGAAATGTTTGATTTCTCCTGGTGTCTTTCAGCAAGCTGAGATTTTTGTTTGTTTGTTTTAAAGCTATGAAATCTAATACAGTAAATGTCTACCTGGGATGCCGGTATACTTCAATTTGGATAATTGTGCATTGGAGATTCAAACTAAGATGGATTTTTAAGGCTGAATGTTACCTGCTGTATTCTTTTGGGGTTTGGAGGGGTTTGGACAGGATGTCTTTATTTGTGGTGCAACCTACAGGACAGTGCATGGAAAAATCAACCCACCCTGAGCAACTCTCGAGCAGAGTTTTGAATGTCAGACTGGTACATTTGTCATTTTCCCAGAATTGTTTGTTTTCTTTTTTTCTTTAGAAATGCCACCAAGTTTTGAGTCATTGGGGTTGGAAGGTTACAATCCTATTTCTAATTCATAAAGCACAATCAAATTTTTTTTTCTTTTGGAAAACAAAGAACAAACCTCGTAAAGTACCATTTTGCTTTAGCATGATTTTCCTTAATAAAAATATACAAAGAATTTCCTTTATGTTAATTACGGGCATGAAGCAAAGGTTTTTCCTCTCCTTTTTCCCTTTTTATTTTAAAGCAGTAATGTTAGGGCTGTGGCTAGTGACTGTGCTGAAGTTCTCTATCTAGCATTTGTGGCTTGTCGGAAGGGTAATATTAACTATTTAACATGTAATGGTGTACTTAACTCTTATCTAGCACGCTGTTTTTCTCATTACTTTGGGGAGGGAGGGGCCACGTTTTGCTGGCACTGTTTAACTTGCTTACCTGCTGACCTAGCAGTTTGCTTGTGCTATAACCTTTACTGTAGGTGCTACTTAGGAGTAGAGTAAGTGCTGGGTGGTGATATCAGTTTAAAAGGTAAAAAAAAAAAAAAAAAAAAGACAAAAAAATCACAATAAAAATTTGTATTTTTTCAATATTGTATAAAAATAGTGTTCTAATTACCTCATCCCCCTTCCTTTGCAGGTTTTTCTTCCCCGTCACTCCATCCCCTCACTCGGATTTAGTGTATCAAACCGCTCACATGTTCCCCCCTCCTTTTGTGAAACGCATATTCTGCTAATCAGGGCTTCCCCCCCAAAAATACCAGTAAAGCCGCAGTTTGGCAGGGCCAGCTCCTGACCCGGGTACAAGAACGCAGCAGGACTCGCGGGGCTTGTCCAAGCTGACGGCTCAAGGGGTCTAGAGCTGTGAAAACGTGTGTCCCCGGCTCTTCCCACCACTCCTGAGCTGTGGTAAAACTCACCGCCTCGGCACAGAGGCTGCCAAAATGCTGCTTGTAAAAATGTCTGTCCTGGATGTAAGATGCTTCCAGGGGATGAGGTGGGCTGGGGTCCGCTCTGCGGGTCGGGAATGCCTGCTCCTGCCCACCTTGCACCCCTCTGCTTCTTCCCCTCCATCATTTTTCACTTCTTTTTTTTTCCAAATCTTCCTCCTTCTCCCAAAAGAAACTTCCCCCTCACAAACAGTTTGTAAATAAAACTTACACCTATGTAGTCTGGAAGAAAAGGTGGAGCCATATTGAAGCAAGATAGCTCTTATTTTGGTCATCTTGAGGGCGTTTTTTTCTTCTTCAAAAAACAGTGCTGTTGTCACCTTGTGCTCTGTCAGTGTGATGGGAATTTCTCAGCCAGTCCGTGATGGACCCCAGGTTGATTTCCCTGCTACCAAAATTTGCCACAGCCCCTTGGCGCTGTTTTGGAAACAACCTTTGGCTTCTAGTCCTGTAACCTCTCCTTTTGCCGTCGAGGTTTTTGCGTGACATGAAAAACTGAGTTGCCATGACCCTCGATGGTGACACTCGGGGCTGGTCAGTGACCCTCTATGCCGAGTTTTTCCTGACCCACAGGTCGGTTTGGCGGATGCAGAAGTTTGCCGGCGCGGGGACAGGCTGGAGCAGAGCTTTGCCATCAGCCTGGTATGGCATAGGCTTGTCCTCCTGCCTCCACCATGTCCATGGTTGAACCCCAAGCCATCTCTTTCTTCTTTACGTGTCTACCCATCCCTTAATGCGTGCCGGAGAGACGGGGCTCCCTTTCCCATCCCCGCCTGGCGGGTGTCGTCCATCGGCAGGGACCCTCCTCGCAGACCATCGGGAAGGCTGGGAGGTGTTTGACAATTTTCTCTTTTTGCTTCTTTTTTCTCATCCAAGTTCTGCTGGCACTTTAGCAGGGGTGTTTGCAGCATGAGAAATGGCCATGATTTTACTGCCTGTGTGTGGTACCTATCGTGTGATACTTGAAGAGATCAGGAGTGTCTTGCCCGTTGTTTGAGTCGGCTCTTTATTTTTTTTCTCCTCTTTTTCTTGCGTTGTTGATGTAGTGGGCACATCAGCCACCCTGACATAAATGCCTCTTCTCTAAGAGTATAACCTCTCCAATAGTTGTGTATAATTAAAGAACTGTAAACTTTTTTTAAAATAAAATATGTATATACCTTGAAGTTTGGCTGGTGCTTGATCGCCGAGAGCTTGGTCTTGCAGGAAAGACCCTGGACTTTGCGCCATTGACTCTGCATCCCACCACGACTTCACCCGTGGCCCATCTACGCCAGATCAAAGCCATTCCAGGGCATCTTCTGCCTGGAGATGAACTGCTGGAGGTGGCAGCAGCGGTTGTTGCACATACCCAACGCGCTGATGGTAGCGCTCAGGCTAGCCAGCTCCTTCTCCAGCTGTTTGCAAGCGGCTGGGTGATTATGTCCTTCCATGCCTGGTGACCGCAGCCTCAGCACCGAAGCTGATTTTTAGGGTCTTGGGTTGGAAATGAGGGATCAGCGCAGCCACGGGGCATCTGTCCCTCCCCATCCCTCCACCCGCATGGCCTCATAGGGTAAATTTCTTTCAAGGTCTCTTCTCGCAGCAGGACAAGTCGTTACAGGTAATGCTGCCTGAGATACCGCAGCCATCGTGGGAGCCGTGTTTGGTGTCCTGGACCGGTAATTATGGCAGAGGTGGCTGTTTTCTGTATAATCACAGGTAATTTTGGCTTGACGTGACATGGGGATCAGGGTAATGTATACAGGGGGTGTGACCGGGAGCAGTTCGAGGACCCCCCAGCTGGCATTTTGGGGCTGTGGGTGGGACAGGGAAGGGGACAGCAGCCTGGCATATGGCTTGTCCTCGTCCTGGTCTAACTCACTAACTCCAGATTTGTCTGTAGCTGTTTGTCACCCCTAAGACCCAGCTTGGGGACAGGGTGGCAGGTCCGTGTCCTACCAGTGCCACCTGCTGCCAGCACCCAGCCTGGCAGCCCAGGGCACCTTCGGGTGATGCTGGGGACCGGGGGGGGGCCGGGGAGACCCTGTCCCATTGCCACCTCCTGGGACCACCAGTCCTCTGGGCTCTGCCCCTTGCCCTGGGGAGGGATCAGGGAAGGGGGGGGGGGCACCCCTGCTGTGTCACACCACCACCACTTTTAGGGGAGCTTTTAGGGTCAGCTGGGGGTGGCACTGTCCCCTCTGCCCAGCAGGTGGCCCCCGTGCCACACCAGTAGCCCCCCACTCTGCCCAGTACAGGGTAGCGCTGTGCCCGGTGCTGGGTGCTCTCCGTGTCCCCTGGCTGTGGTCCCATCGCTGCTCTGTCCCCACTGTCCCCTGGGTGCCAAGTGCCACCCGCCGTCCATCCCTCCTCCCTCGGGATTTCGGGATCGCCTCGGCCTGGCCCGAGCTCCCACGGGCCCCCGGGAGGTGGGTGCTGCTTTTGGGGGGGGGGGGGGGCCCCCGGGGTGGCGGCAAGGGGGGGTGGGGGGA